GGAGCATTAACACATATTCTTAAGCAAGAACCTAGACTTTGTGTGCCTTCCAGAACAAATGGACAGGACTTGGATTCCTCAACTCTCTTGATTATTGCTATCTTGAATTGCAAAGAACAAAGAAGTGAGCAAAAGACAAAATTAAGTGTCAATGTACACACTTAAAACTATACCTCTTGATGAAGTTTAACAGAATTCATATACTTCTCTTGGATTCGATTTCTTAAACCATGAAGCTCATGTTGCATACCCATCACCTGCATTACAACACATTAGTTAATAACACACAGTTTTAAACTTTATAATGTGACCCCATCAATTATGTAGCACCTTTGTTGGATGATGCATCCGTTTGATTTGTCTAGCTTCTTGAACCTCCTCAACTAATTTCTCCACATCCTTTGTAATGAAAACATAAATTGATTAGAACATGTAACCATTACTATATGAAGCTAGACTACATGCATACTAACCGGTCCTTGAGCTCTAGAAGCTTCAGAACTCCGTTCTTGTTCTTCAAATGCCTCTCCAAGTTTAAGCACTACGGCTCTTGCACTTTCGATCTCAGCGCATGCGAATGACTTTTCCTGGTTTACCAGTTTCTTTGCATCTTCTGAAGCCTAACCATCATGAGAACAAGAGTTATATAGTCAGCTTCCTTGTCACTTTCCCTCTTACTGTTATCAAAGTAAGCAAGAGGTATTAAAATATGAACCTGCTTGAGGAAGTTTCCGAGTTTCTTCACTTCAAACTTTTCTTGAATTAGTTCACCTTCATTCTGAGTTAACTTGACAGCTAAAGCTTCAACCATAGAGATAGCTTTCTCCACATCTTCCTTGTTTTGCCCGTCCGTTCGTCCTCTCATGTATTCTAAAGCATCCCTTAGCTTCTTCAACATAACATGTCCTTCCAAAGAAGCCACCTCTCTTAATTTTGCCTAAAAAGAATAGCAAAATATTCAACAACAGAAACAAAATAAGAGAGAACAAAATGTTCAAATAAGAAAAAATTTGTGAGCTTTTGAAGGAAACCTCATCAGACAGATTAACAGCTGCAGCCAAATTCTTGTCGAATTTACTAGCGAGGTCACGGACTGAAAGCCGCTTGTGCTGATCAGACAAGTTTTCGGTCTCTTTCTCGACGGTTTCTTTCACTGATGGACCTTTTTCATCTTCCTTTGGTTCATCTATTATCTGATTATCAGGTCCTAATTTGTATGTTGGAAAATGATTAGAAGCAAAGCTCACATCTAATGATACTGTAACAACTGATTCTGATAATGTCCTTTCTTCGATTTCAGGACACACTTTCGTCATTCTCTAAGGATTTTTTATCTGTTCCT